TTATTACATGTTCACCAAAGATGATAAAAAGTCCCTTCTTGTTCACATTTCCAACATGTTTGAAACCCCTTTGTGCCTAAAATCTCAATGTATGCTTTATGTAACTATTTCCACTGTTATTCTTTTATTGATATTTAGACGTTCAATATAGATTTACCTTACTGCAGTCATAAGGCAGAGATGGGAAACTTACAGCAGCCCAGCCCATTGTGTTAATAATCAAGTATAATTAGCAGTAGCTAGAAGGCATTTAAGTTGGCATACTGTCCCATAGAGAAACTGTTTTCTTTCTTTCCTTTGTTGTTGTCTTTGATGCAATGCTTTAATATTAGCGAGGTTGACAGAATTACTACTTCAGAAGGCTTACAACTGATGGTCCCTATGCTTCACTGCTGCGTTATGAACCATCAAGAGAGGTTTCTATACAAACCTTAGTGATTGGAGCATTCAAATCCTATTTTATTTCAATAAGATGAAAATGTCCCAACAAAATATGCCACATATTACTTCACACTTCAAATACATTTTCAAGCCAATTTACAGTGAAGTAGTACAACTACCATACTAAAATTACCTATAAGCAATTGTATCTGAGACTGTGTGGAGTAGTGGTTAAAGTGTCGGACTGACACCAGAGAGACTCAGATGCAAGTCCACCTTCAGCCATAGAAGCTCCTTAGGTGTCTTTGGACTAGTCACTCCCTTTTATATATATATAAAATTAAAAGTTTTTAAAAGGAAAATAAAAACTAATACAAACTAATATAAAGTAAGAAGAAGAAAAGAAAAAGAAATCAGAAAGAAAGCTAAAAGTGCAAGAAAAGAAGTAAAATAGAAAAGAAAAAAAATACAAAGAAGTGGCTTCCGATCTTCTTTACAACAGTTATGAGTACAATTATAAATTTATCTCTTACTCTAAAGGTACAGGATGACTCTCTTCTATCTGTCTAATCATCAAAACCATAAATCATAAGTTCATATTTTTCTGTTTTACACAAAAAGTCCATAAGGGGTTTCCAGTCAACAACAAATGTAGATATTGTCTTTTCTCTGATCAAAGAAGTCAACGTGGCAATCTCAGCAAGTTCCATCATCTTCACCAACCATTCCTTCATTGTGGGTAATGCCAGATCTTTCCATAAAATAGGTGTACTCTCCTGAATTGCCATTTTTCTGTCTCCATATATCAACCAGCCCTAAATTGTCCATCATATCAAAGAAAACTTGAGTTATTTTAATATTTTTCTCAGAATTTCTATCCAATTGTGGGGAGATCTCTTTGTTCCAAATCCCCCATCAAACATCAATTTTCATAAGAGAAACCTATTAGTCTCTCCATAAGTTCTTGATGGAACAGTACTTTATCTTCATTTGGGGCATAGATTCGCAGTATCAAAGTCTTAGTCCCATGCAAATTAACTTCTACCCCAACAAATCTACCATGCTCATCATTCTGGTTTTAGGTGGTGATTTATATCTAAACAACTCCTTTTTTTGTTTTGTTTTGTTCCTGCTGAAATAAATTCTTCACCCAAATTTTTATAAATCAAATAT